GAAGATGCTAAAGAACCTTGGGCTGCCCCTACGCATTCTGCCGTCTGCCCAGGCTTCCTGGCGAGGAGTGTCGCAGTCAGCCCTGGGGACTTGGGGTGCCCTGTCCAGCCCTGTCCGCTCTGGGCAGAGAAGTCCTAGGCACTGACAAGTGCTTGGATGGGGCAAGCAGTCTCTTCTTCTTCTACAGCCTTTCCTGGAGCAGGTGCTCCAAGCTTGCTGCCAGGCTCCCACCCTCCCGGCACACCCAACCGGGCCCTTTCTGGTCTACCCAGGAAGATTTCACGTTTAAAAGTCTCTCCGCTGTTGATGATTCTTTTAAAAGAGAATTAAATGTCTGTTGATGAGGTGAAGGAGGGAGGAATCATTCCCTGGCCTGGTGCAGGCAAAGCTGTAAAAGAAAAATGCACTGGCACTGATGGGGTGGCATGTCCCTGATGGGGTGGCACGTCCCTGATGGCTATTGCTTTAGCCCCAGACTTTGCACCAGCGGTGTGGCCAAGGCTGGAAAAGGTTTGGATGCCAGGGCTGCAGTAAAACACATCAAGTGACATCCTTGGAGGTGTTGTGCTCTGTGCTGCAGGGGTGGGATTGGAACTACAAAAATTTTACCATGAGCATGCCCAGCTGCTGGAAGAGGGACACAGGGAAGCTGTGGGACCTCTGCCCTTGGAGACCTTTCCAGCTTGATTGGACGGAGCCTGACCTGCCTCTGAAGTTATAGCCAACATTGAATCCGGACTTGTTTTGACTGGAGACCTGGTCCTGAGGTCTGCAGAGGTACTTACAGCCTAAATTACTTTGATCCCAAGATCAGCCCAGCTCTGTCTGTAGCCTAGAGAAATTGGCATATATAGGAGAAAACTTCTGTTTCTGGAACACAAGAGGAAGGATACAGTGCCTTTTCATCTTCAGTTGCTCCACTTTCAAACTTTCCGGGGATGGAAAAGAGTCTGAAGAAAGATATGGAGAGGGAACAACTATTAGGAATGTCTGTGAGACAAAAGCTTGAAACTAGATCTGTGGGGAAACTCAGGCATACCCCTCCCAACAGATCCTACCACCCTGGAAAGGGGTCTGGAGCAGGAGTGTGTACCCAGGGCTGTGCTTGGGGCTGTGGGTATAGAGGGAGCCAACACAGCCCTGCTCCCTGGTCTTCTTATACAGCTTCTTTTTCCCGTGGATTGGGGAACTTGTGTATCCAGGGCCAGGAGGAGGCTGGTGAGAAGATCCTGCAGTGTGGTGAGGCCTTGTATGGGGAGAGGAAACGAGAAAGTGCAGCCAGAACCTCAGCAGAAGTTTTGGAAGAGTAGACCGGAGTCTCCCTTACCAGAGAAGGGTATAGAACTACATGGTATAACTCAGGTTGGAAAAGATGTTGGGAAATTTCTGTTCCAATCTGCTACCCAAATCAGGGTCAGCTATGGTTCAGACAGTAGGCTCAGCCCTATGTTGTTGAGTCTCCATCACGTCCAAGGATGGAGATAGCACAGTCTCTTTGGGCAACCTCGCTGTCCTTGTGGGGGAGATATTTCTCCTTGTACCCTCCATTTAGCACTTCTCTAGTCCCATCTCATGTTTACTGTCTCGTCCTACTGCTGTGCTTTGCCGCCAAGAGGCTTTGATCCCATGAAGGCACCTGTATCTTCTGCTCTGCATGTTTCCGATAAGGTCCTCAGCAGGATGAAATCTGTGTAGAGGCAGCTTTCTTGCTTTCCGTGGGTGCTGCAGTCCACATATCCAGATGGGACATGTGAGAAGAAATGGAGGGGAGCAGGAAGGTGGTTGCGTGTCCTCACAGCACAGCTTGTGTGGAGAAAAGTAAAGCGCTCTGCAGTAGGTGGGCAGGAGAAGCTGTACATCTGCCTTCCGCGGGGCTGTGAGGTAGAAGATGAGTTTTGGATTCAAGGGTTCAGAGTGCCAGGGATGGCACATGGTGAGGCTGAGAGTGACCTGAGAGCACTGCCCTGTGTCCATGTAGACCTGTCTGTAGCAGTGCAGGAAGCTGTTGTCCATACACAGACCTGGGGAGGCTGCTCCATGTGTGGAGCCAGCGCGGGGCAAGCACAGACAGCAGGTGTAAGCACCACTCAACTCTTTGGTGTGCTGAGCTCAGTCAGATTTTTGCCTTCCTGCCTTTCTGAAGAGGTACGTTGTATCTTCCTTGTTCTTCCTGGTCCTGGCACATCCTGAAGCTGCTGCCATCCTGGAGACAGCTGTCCCAGCGAGGGGCAGGTCTCCTCAGCCGCTGTGCTAACACCTCTCCCAACTCTCTTTTCACCATCTGGAAGAGGATCTGTACACCTAACTGTGCTAGCTCCTAGCATGGTTGATAGCTGCTGGCTCTGCTTTCATTGCCTGCAAAGACTGGACTGTGTCACTTTGACAGCCAGCCATGCCAACCTCTTGCTCATTTTAGGGTAGCTGGGAGAAGAGCTTGTCCTGCCTTTTAATGCCTTTCTTTCCTTCCTGTAGAAGCAGTAATCAATGTGGACCAGATAATTTTCATAGAACCATAGCAGTGCTGGGTTGGAAGGGACTCATCAGGATCATCAAGCCCAGCCCCTGTACCTGTGTAGGACACCCCAAGAACCACACCACGTGCCTGAGAGTATTGTCCAAATGCTTCTTGATCTCTGTCAGGCTTGGTGCTTGCTCCCTGGAGAGCCTGTTCCAGTGCTCAGCCACCGTCTGGGGTGACATCCAACCTAAACCTCCCTCCGTACCTTCATGAATCTTGTCATAGGTCACGAGAGTAAAGAGCTTTGATCTCCTCTGGCCCTTGTTCCTCTCATTTTGTTATTTGCTTCAATCCTCATGCCAGTTTAGAGTTCAGTCTAAAAAAAGGTCACCAATGATTATGATACAGGTTTTGAGGAAGATGTTTCTGAACTTAGCATCTGTAGGCAGTTCAGGGAGCAAAACTCAATGTCTGAAGAACAAGCCTGACAGATCTTGGTGACTTAGAAAACACAGACTGAGTAGGTTCAGTTGTATGTTGTTTGCAGAGAAAGTTTAGATGCTTGTTCTTGTTTGTCTCCAGATCTTTTATACCTACAAACTAGAGAAACTGGGCATACCTAGATGGTAATTTTTTTTGCAGCAGGTACAGCGATGAGCTGTTGCCTTAAGAACCTGAAACATGGTCAAAAGCTGCTTAAACTTTGGTTACAAACAGCTAGAAACCCTGGTCAGAACTGTGAAGAGCTACTGGGACCATTCAGGGGACTCTATATCTGTGTGGGGTCTGTGCTTTGAGCTTTTTTAGGCAAAACCAGCCTTTGCTAGTGCTGGCAGTGCTCCACCCTCCTGCCTGGGGACTCCAGCAATCCCTTCCCACCAGCACTGCTGTGGTTTTGTGGCTATTCCAACCTCCCTGAGCTGTCGTGTAGGCTCAGGTGCCAAGGGCGTGGGTCTGTCCAGGCTGTGCCTTGTGGCACTGAGATGTGCTGCCCCTGTGCCCACATGTGACATGGGACTGCCTGGCCACTGACAGAGGAAAATATGCTTGTCGTGTCCTTGGGGAGCCATGGGCTTGGGTCTCTCTGTGAGGATATGGGGATATGCCAAGGGGATATGTTAGACAACTGGATCTCACT